TGAAAAATATAATCAATCAAACAAACTAACAATTTTTTAAGCTATTAAAAAATAAAATATTAATTTTAAAGTAAAAGATTATTATGAAAAAAGAAATTTATATGGTAGGAGTAAAAAAATCTAGCATTGATGCTGGTGTTATTTATATATACCTTGAATAAAAAAACAAAAAATAAATATACTTCAAAATAACTCAATTTATTTGAAAATTATTATTTTTAGATAAGACTATAAAAATATTGAAATCTGCATCATCATTTGTGAGAGATCCTGTGCGGTAGACAAAGTGATTAACAGGGGGGATAGCAATTCCTTGTATAGAATTCCTGATTGATGATTTATTTATAATATCCCCGTTGCTATTAATAACACAGCCGATTGCACAAAACGTTGTATAAAATTTATGGCATTTAATTTCTCCACGCTTAAGAATATATCTCTTTTTAGTAAGATCACTATCAGGTATCATGCCATGAATAAGAGAATCAATTAGTTCCTTATCTTCATATTTTATCTTATAATTTTTGTTGGTAATTCCAATAGTGGAGGAATTAATATTATTAGCCCTGTGATCAGCTTTAATTTTTATGATAGATGATTCTGATGTGATTTGTGACGTCTTTATAAGGAAAAAAAAAATTAGCAAAAATGGTATCACCAAGTTTTCTAAGTGCATGGTCAGCAACATAAATAAAGGAAGTTACAAGAGAAAATTCATTGACACAGCGAGACATGTCGTTAGAAATTTCAGAGATGAAATTTAAAGTTGCTTTAGCAAGTATACCTAAAGCTTCACGAGCAAACTTGGTATCGAGAAAATTGCCAACTCTCCAAACAGACTTAGTAACAATGCATACAAGCTGCGATTGATTAAGTTTAGCTTTACAAACAAGAGGAAAACTTTCTGCCCTGTTTAAGAAAGTTTTTACATTTTTTCTATTCCTACGTAGGTGGACTGTATACAGTGATAGGACAATTATCCGCCATACTTTTGTTTATGATTTGTTCAAGAACCTTTTGATTGGGAGTTAGAACCTTTTTTGCATTGGTGTCACTTATATCTGAATTGACATGACTTATGCCAAATTCATTTAACAAAAGCTTTTGGTTTTCTTGCTAGTTTTTTTTAAAGAAAGGTAACATGGATGTATTGTATTCCTTCGAGTTTTCGGAAGTTGAGGGATCAACAGAATTACCGATACTGGCTGGTTCAACATGGTTTCCTATATTAGAGATAATAGAAAATCAGGTAACAAGCTACATGTGAACAAAAATAAAAAAATAATGCTAAATATGAAGAGATATTAAATAAAAAAAATAGGTTTGCATAAATTTAGAGCATTAGGAGAAAAGACGAGAAAACAAAAGAAAGAGTTTTAGTTGTAAAGAAAATTTGAAATAAAGCGTAGGAAAATCTTATTTATATATACTAAATATACATATATCAATATAAAATTTTTTTGATTCAGTTTATTTTGGTAGAAGAAATACAGTGGTATTTATTTAATATTGAATATATGAATTTCTAGGAAGTACTATATTAAATCATGAGAAATATTGATGGTATAGTCGTCCTGCTTTCCACATTTGCAGATTTTTGCTATTCTGACATTTTCCAAATCTTTAATATAACAAACTAAAGTTGTCAAAGCCTTTAAAACTGCTAAAAACAATTAAAGAGATATACATTTTTTTAAAATCCTTTGCTCAAGAATATATAATATTTTTAAAAATTCATCAATCCGATATAGTGTAACGGCTAGCACGGTTCGCTTTCACCGAGCAGTTCGGGGTTCGATTCCCCGTATCGGAGTTGTATTTTATTTTTAAATAAAATTATTAATTTTTTTTTAAGTGAGATATTTGTTAAAAGGATAAAGGTGGTTTGTGGTTACTAGAGGGTCAAAAGTTTTAACATTTTGCGGTGGAAGACTAGATTAAAAGGCCGTGACAGTTTGATATGATAAACTTTTGATCCTAGTATGTGACTTTTTCCTTATATAGAAACTAATTTTTGTGCTGTATTTAATTTTTTGATAAAAGGAAAAATGAAAAAATGAAAAAATGAAAAAATAAAAAAAAGAAAATAAAAAAAAGAAAATTTTTTTTATTGATACTTCATTAAAATTGAGTTTTGTAACAAAAATAAAGCAAAATTTAAGGTGTGTTTTTAAGCTTAAATCAGAGTGATTAATGCGTTCTTGTCAATACACAAGTATGCACATCTTTAAAGGCTTACTAATCGCCTAAGAAAGAGATACTGTGCAGTCAACTGACTGATTTGCGTTTCCAAGACTTTGTATGAAACTGGTGATACCAGGCTTCAACAACTTACAAAACAAGTCGTTGATAAGTTTATCCCCCTCAAAGCTGAAAATTATTTAAATAATTATATTTTAATATAATATTATATCAAAGTAAAAGTATATAAATTTATGTTTAAATAAAACCTTTTTTTTTTTTTTTTTTGAATTATATCACTTTAAAGTAATTTATAGGTATCAACAGCTGATAGCTGTATATCTTTTCCAAATCTTTCAATTTAGCTGAAAATAAAAAAAAAAGAAGTTTCATAAAATATATATATTCATATATATGAATATATTTGTTTTACGAACTCGAACTAAAATAATAAGGGGATTTGCAGGATGATTCAATATTATAAATATTCTTGGATTTAGTTCTGGACAAAATATTATTTTTGGATAATGATTTTAAAGTATCTTCTTTGGTTGACTTAATTAGGTTTTTAAGAGTCTTTGAATCACGGTAATTAAAAATTATTTTATCAGAACCCGTAATTATAATCAAACAATCATTCGTTGTAGAACAAGGTTTATCTTCACAATAATCATCATCATCATCATCATCATCAGCACAATTTTCTTTACAACTTATATCTTCCAAATTTCCTAGTTTTTTAACTATGTTCCAAGTTTTTTTAGGAATTTTTTCAATTCTGTTGTAAAGACCATCATAAGGTGTATAGGTTGTGAGGGTAGTTGATTTTTTTCCATTTAAATTTGATATTGGAGTATTGATTTGATTTTTTCCATTTGAGGTGGTTGATGTTGGTAATTTGGGGAATATTTTGCTATTTTGAGCTTGTGAATTCGGAATAGTGGTTGAAGCAGTTGAAGTTTTAGGTGAAATGTTTGGCATTACTACTCTTTTTTTTAAGATTAAATGATCAAAAGAGTTAGATTTCCAAAAAGAAGGCCAGAAACCAGGTTTAGTCGAATCGCTTAAAGCTGCTCCAGAACTGTCATATAAGCTAAGCGACAAGACATTGTTAGCCAGCAATGATAAGAATGATACAATAAAGATAAATTGCATGATAAGAAAGGGAAAGTTAATGGGTTTAAATTTTTTATGGATAAAAAAGAGAAAGAAAAAAGTAAGAATATAAAAAAAAACCAGGAATTAGCGTTTTTTAAATATTAAAAAAAAAAGATAATATTGAAAAAACAAAAATCTTAGCAACTCGTTTTTTTTTAGTGAAGAGGCAGTGCTTTTTTTTTTTTTTTTATTATCCTTAAATTGCTTCATATAACTTCGAAAGAATTAAAAAAAAAATAAATTTGAAATCCACTGCAACAGCGCTTCATCTTGGCAAACTTATTACAAAAACTCAAGCAGAGGAAGAGTGAAGAAATGCAAGAGCAATTCCAAATTGTTGATGGCTTAGATAAAGAGTATCAGTACAGGTACCATTTACACCTGACCTCAAAACCATGGGGTTTTATTTTTTTTTTTTAAAAGGATGGAGTTTATTTAATTATAATTAAATTATCAATCTATTAATTAATAGATTGATAGATAGATAAAATGAATGAATGAAATCTATACAAATGCAGCATTTTGTCTTAATAAAAATAAACTTAGCGATTAAGTTATCTAAAATTTTATTATTCTATCATTATATATATATTCAAAAAAAAAAAAAGAAAAAATAACTCACACATGATTGTCAAAAGGAATTAAATTTTTTTTTTTCATTATAAATAAATTTATTAAATCATTTAAATGATTTATTATCCTTTTAAATTTCTCTAAAGCTTATATACGAAAAGCATTATTGCAAAAAGGTGTACTCCAAAAAAAAAAAAAAAATATTGATTGATAAAGTTGAAAGACCATAATTCCCCCACAAAAAAAAAACAAAAATTAACCAAAAAAGGAAAATGATAGCGTAATGTGTTGAAATAGTTTAATTATGATGTTTAGCAAATTATTTTGTGCAATAAGATTTAACCTCCATTACAAAAAAAAAAAAAAATAAAACTATGGGCACTAAAATCAATGATGGACAGAATTACGTAGCCACCTTTGGATATTTCAACACTATCAACTTCGGGAAGACACACATAATTCATATTCATAAAAAACAATCATAACAAAAAGAAAAAAAATTGAACCCGCCGAGGATCGAACTCGGAGCCTCTTCGGATTTCACAAATGTGAACGAAACGTGATAACCATTACACCACGGGTCCATTTATACAAAAATTTAAAACTTATGTTGATATAAAACCTATTTATAAATGTTATTTTAACTAAATTTTAACTAGAAGCTGAGTTATTTTAATTATTTATTTAAAATTTTAATTTTTTTTTAAATTTTTTTTTTTTCTCCCTTGCTCTCCACCTTCCAAAAACAATCTTATTGAGTAATTTATTTCTTCTCCCTTTTACAATTTGATTACCAGTAATTTCACCCATGTGCCTCACTACTATATAGCCTTCCTTATCACCCACCAACTTCCCTTTTGCCCGCCCCTTGTTTTTGCTCCTTCTGACGTCAAAAAAAAAAAAAACAATCGGCAATCCGTACATGCATTCATTCCTTCTTCTATCTTATCATCTTCTATTAATACAAGTTATATTTATATTCACATAATTAGTTTACTTAGAATCAAGTTACAAATTGTAGTTGTAGTAGCAGTAGTAAGTTCAAAGTCATAGTATACACATATTGTCTCATCCTCCAATTTTTCTTCTCATTTAACATTCTCAAGCTTGCTTAAAGCAGTCTTAACCTTGAGTCCCACACGAGTACTGAGCTCGTAATCATCGGCATAAGAGTTTGCAATTTCAAGATAATCGCGCACCTTTTGCACGGACTTGGTTCCCTCCATCTGCCACACAAACACTGCCAGCTCATATACGGCACTGGGGCTGACCCATGGGTCCTTATTTGTTTTGGTAAAGTGAACCTTGGGCAACCCAGATGCGTAGTGACCCTTGTTGGGAGTCTCCACGTAAATTTTAGGGATAACTTGAGTCTTGAGCAGTTCGTATCCCTCCTCGACCTTCCCCAGACAACGCAGAGAAATAGATTGCAACAGATTTCGAATCAAAGCCTCATCTTCAGTTTCCTCAATGACATCTGCATCAGTGCCCTTATTACTGGTGTAAAGGGCCTTGGGGTTGGCAGCATAGCCCAGGAGCTCGAGAGTTGTATCTAGATCCTGAGGAAGCATACGTCCAAAGCCGTTCCAAAAGTAAATTACTTCATGAATCGGCGATGTACCAATGGCATCAACAATGTGAATGTTCTTGGCCTTTGCAATGGCCTTCCAGCTATTCAGCTTACGCAGAGTGAAAACGTCAAAGGGCATGGTCTTAGCCATAAACTTACGCTTACCCAAAAAGGATGGAGCACGTTCCATAGCATCTGCAGCAGCCTTTTTAGACTTTGCAGCAAGTTCAGGATCAGAGTGTTTGTATTTGCGATAAATCTCAACGTGGCAAACAGCTGAAAGGTAGGTGTAAAACATGTGAGACCAGGTATTGAGATCAATCAGACGAATGAAATTGTCGGCAGCAATTTCAAAACCATGGATAGTAACAATAAACATAGTCTTGTCAAAGAGCATAAGGCCTTCAACCTGGCGCATGTTAATGGGACCGCGAGAGGTATCGTCCATGATAGCGATAGCTTCGCGAAGGTTACCACGGGAAGCTTCCATGCGTCCTTCTTGAAGCTGCCAAAGGGCACCTTTGTTAAAGTGCTTGCGGGCACGGCGCAGGCCAATACGCAATCGGCGCTTAGTTGTAGCTTGGTCGTCTGGGTCTGGGGCTAGGGAGAAAAGAATATCATCATCATCAGGGAGGGGCACAGCATCCAATTCGGCAAGAGTGGGTTGGCCTTCCTTGACAGGCAAGGCAATATCAGAAACCTGAGTGGGGCCATCGTAGTATTGGAGAAGAGCAAGAAGACCTAAAGCACCATGAATGTTAAGACTTTCGACGGCATGCCATAAAAGACGTAGTGATTCCTCCTTGGAGCCTTTGAAACCGACAATAGACAAAACACGGCCAATACCGGCAGGTAAAATAGAAATGACTAGTTGAAGAATACCATAGCAGGCATTGACAGCAGAAATTATGTATTCGTCAACAGCCTCCTGACCAGCAACACTAGGAGTTGTTGATGATTGGTTTTTGAGCTGAAGCTCGTCAAGTTTGCGAGTAATGAAGTTTTCAATTTCGTCTGAAGATGCCTCTCTAAGAGTGTGACCATTTGCACGCTGCATGCGAGCATGTTCAAACTGGCGGGCCTTTTTAGTAATTTCCGGGTTGCGAAGAAGCTCGAGGGTGAGAACTCCATCGTCATCACTGTCCTTATGCTTATTGTTGCTTTTAGAAGAAGAAGACTTTTTGGTGGATGTAGTAGACTTGGAGGTTGTGGAGGAGGATGACACCGAGGAGGTTGTTCTGATAGAGGCTGAGGAAGGCTTTGTTTTCAGAGACGAGGTAGGATCATTAAGGTTTGGAGTTGAATTTGAAACAAATTTCGACGAGTCAATAAAAGTGGACTTGTAGTCAGCGGCCTGCATCTGCTTGTAGACTTCGTCGAGAGTTTGATAGGCTTTACGGAGTTTAAGAAGCGCCTTGGCAGTATCAATGACACTTTCCGAAAGAAATAATGTGATAGCGCCAAGCAGTTGGGACTCAGCATGGACAACTGCGTACTCGAGGCCTGGAGGGAACTGAGCTGAAGTCTTGTAGCCTGACTTGATGGCACGGTTACGATCTGCTGTAGCACTTTCTTCAGCGGCGTAAAGAGCATCTGAAGCCTTTTTGATTGCCTCGGGTTCAAAGCCCAGCGTGGCCTCAATGAAGGCGATTACGCCGCGTGCAAGCTTAAAGAAAGTGGAATCTCCGACGGAGAGAAGTTGTTGGGCTTCTTCGATGCGGTCATCCATGAGAAGGTCCATGGAGCGAAGAGCATGTTCGAGAGAAATGGCCTCATCGAGCAGGTTAATGGAAACCGATGATGCCGATCGGGTGGGAGGTTCCGAGGCGGATCCCCTAGAAAGACCAAGGGCTCTTAACATGGTATTTTATGGGACAAAAAAAAAAAAAAACAAATAGGGAGGTTGTTGAGGAGGTTAAGCAGTGAAAAAAAAAAAAAAAATTTAAACGAAAATAAAGGATAGAAGAAGTAATTCTATATGAAGATTTCTATGGGAGGTTTTATAAAAATGAAAAAGAATGTTTTTAATAAAAACTTGTTCAGACCTAAATGTCGTTTAAAATTGCGGGCTTTTAATAATAAAATAAAAATAAAAAAAAAAAAAAAGTGGAAAGAAAAGAATTTAAAAAAAAAAAAAAAAAAAAAAAAAAAAGCGCGGCCAGCCTGGCTCTAAAAAAAAAAAAAACTATATCACGTGAACACACACTGAATTATATTTAACACAAAACAAAAAATAAAAAAATTGATGCGGCTCGATCAGCTCTCACAGCCCAAGTGCACCAACCACCTTGGCCGCCAATTCCCGATAAGCCTGACCCGGTGCAGAGTCCGGTGCAGAAACCATAGTCGGTCGGCCTGAGTCGGCACTCGCACATATCTCAGCAGCTAGTGGAATATGAGCTAAGACTTCAACACCACGTTCTTTGGCCTCGTCCTCAAGTTTACTATGTTCCCCTGTCCGGCCACCGCCAAAAATGTGAGACTCGTGATGGCAGTTAGGACAAATAAAACTGCTCATATTCTCAACGATGCCAATAACAGGAGTCTTTACAACTCGGAACAGGTTCAGGCCACGAACCGCATCAATCAATGCAAGGTCTTGTGGGGTAGATACAAGAACAGCACCATCAATTTGGACCTGTTGAGCCAATGTCAGTTGCACGTCACCTGTACCAGGAGGCATATCAAGAACTAACACATCAAGGTCTGGTTCCTGACTGGTTTTTCCTGCCCACTGGACTTCAAAAAGCAGTTGCTGGAGGGCCTTTTGAACAAGCAAACCTCTCCAAGCAACAGCCTTATTTGGGTCCACGAGGTATCCCATCGACATTGTTTTGATTCCGTAGTTAACGATCGGCACGAGGTGCCCGTTTTCCGGCACAAGTTCGGGCTCACTTGCGTCAGAAAGGTTGAATATCTTTGGTACAGAAGGCCCAAAAATGTCCACATCTAAAAGACCAACATTAAGGCCCTTCTCAAATAAGGCCAAAGCAAGATTCGCAGAAACTGTCGACTTCCCAACACCGCCTTTAGCTGATGAAACAGCCAAAATCTTTTTAACACCGGGGATTTTCTTTCGGCCTGGAATTCCAGCCCCTCCAGGACTTCTTCTCGGTAGACCCTGAAATTTAAAAAAGTGTTATTATTTACAGACTATATATACAATTGTAAGAGAGAAAAAAAAAAAAAAAAAAGAAAATTCATAAAGAAGAAAAGCTTTTCATCAACATACAAGAGGGTTCGAGTGGTTAAGCTGACGAGCAGAGGTCGAGAATGAACGGACACCCAAAACACGCTTGACACTGCCAGCAACAGCATTGCGCGAAGAGTTCCACTTAGACTCCACATCCTTCCATGGAATCGAGCCCATCACCTTGTTGACATTCTTGCGATCAGCCTCGGGAAGCGACTCAACCACAGTCTTAACTTTTGCATCGAGTTCCTCGTCACTAGCCACAGACACAAGTCCAGCATAACGCTTAAGCACGGCAATTTCCTCTGTCTCCTTCTCAATCAAGTCGTCACGGCCGGCTGCCTTAAACTCAGCAATCGACTTCATGCGGGTAACAATCATGCTGCGCAACAGACCATGCATTTTAAGGTCGGTACCCACAGAAGCAGGGTCAGCAAGTGTCTTGTTTTTGACCTCAGAGATGATGCCGCGAATCACATTCTTCTCAGTGGTGTTTCCGGAACGCATGGCTAGCTTGAGACCCTCACGAATCTTGGTCATCAAAGGAGCATCTGTAGATGCGCAGCGGAACTGCTGCTGCTGTAAAATCATGGCCGAGCGACGGGCCGTAGAAGTTCTAAGCATGGCATACATTGTTGGTTTGGCCTTTTTTTTTTTTTATGGTGGTGGTGGTGGTGATGATGATGATGGTAAATGATTAAGTTAATGATTGGCTGAAGAACTCTCCTAAAAAAAAAAAAATTTCACAGACTTTTTTTTTTTTTTTTTTTTTTTTTTTTTCAACCTCTCAAACCGGTAATTTCCTTGCCAAACATGCCATTTATTAAAGCTTTTCAAGCTAGATTCTATAGCCATGTACCCAGGACTTCCTACCTTCCAACTATATATGCACTCTCAACTAAACCTGGCAAAGCTGCAATTGCCATAGTCCGTGTTTCCGGAACCCGGTCCAAAGAAGTATACAAACTGTTAACACGCCGCGCCAAGGACCCGACCCCAAGATCCGTAATCTACTCGACTCTTTATAACCCCACCGCTCCTACAAAATCACCCGCTGCCGTGCTGGATCACGCTGTTGTGCTTTACTTTCAAGCCCCTCATTCATATACAGGTGAAGATGTTCTTGAGCTTCAACTGCATGGTGGTAACGCCATTGTACGATCTGTCCTTTCTGCGCTTCACCATTTAGGCAAAACTGATGCCATCACCTCTCAAGAACATTCTAAACTTAACCTGGGTTTAAGATATGCGGAAGCTGGAGAATTTTCTAAGCGTGCTTTCCAAAATGGAGCATTAGATCTAACTCAAATCGAAGGTATCCGTGACTCAATAGATGCAGAAACAGAAACTCAACGACAAGCAGCGCTTGCATCATCCAGCGGCCATCTCAAGCGACAATACGATTCATGGCGCACTCAAGTAGTCGATTCTATGGCTCTTCTTACAGCACTCATTGACTTTTCCGAAGACTCAGGAGACGTTGGTGAATCTGCATCTGTACTGTTTACCCAAGCGCGCGAAAAAGTTGCGACTCTACTAGCCGAGATTGGTCGCCATCGAGGACAGATCCAGAAATCACAGCTCATTATGGATGGTATTAAACTGGATTTATTGGGTCCGCCAAATGCAGGTAAATCATTTCTACTCAATAGGTTAGCGGAACGCGAAGCTGCAATCGTGAGCGATGTTCCAGGAACTACGCGAGATGTTCTTGAAGTCCCCATGGACATTGGTGGATATAAACTTGTACTTGGAGATACAGCTGGGCTCCGAAAACATGAAAACTTGACATCATCACACTCTACATCTACAGAAACATCAATTGCCCATTCGGCCATGCGAATCGAAATGGAAGGTATTCGCCGTGCTCGTGAACGTTTCAAGTCGAGTGACATTATCTTGGCGGTTGTACCTATTTCTCCCACTCTTAAGATCCCTGTCGATGTTGCGGAAGAGATTCGCGCTCTTGAGGGTAAACGCATCATTGTTGTTCTTAACAAGGAAGATCTTCTTGACAATTCAACTGACAAGCTTGAGTTAATAGAAGCCTACGCTGTACAACTACGCGTGCCATCCAAACACATTATTTTAACATCATGCGTCACTACCTCAGGTATCAACGAACTTGTTTCGACTATAGAAAGTGAATGCAAAGATCTAGTAGAAAGTGGGGACGAAACTGGGTCTCAGCTGCCACCTGTGGCTGCATCACAGAGAGTACGCGACATTTTGGACCACGAGGTTGTTTCAGGACTTGAAAATTTTATGGCAATTGAAGATGAGCACGATGTGGTTATTGCAACCGAGGAACTGAGATTTGCAGCAGAAGGAATTGGCAAAATCACAGGCCAAGGTGTTGGTATTGAAGAAGTTCTGGGAGTTGTCTTTGGCAACTTTTGCATTGGAAAGTGATATAGAAAAAAAAAAAAAAAAAAAAAAAAGATATTGCTTTTGACATTATCACTTTCCTCTTTCTTTTAAATGCTTGATTGTTTTCTAAAGACTCTTTTTTTTATGACCTCCGACTACTCTCACGTTCGAGGAAATCTGCAAACATGCTTATAAAACCCCCCCCGCTTGTTCCTGAGCTATCAAGTGACGGTGTGCGTGAAAAGGATCCTGCTCGTGGAGACGTGACTTGACCTTGAGACGACGGTGCACTATTACCATTTGATAATCCCAATGGTGTTCCAGGAGTCGAGCCTAATGGAGCACGGACAAGTCCAGCCTGGGATTTTTGATCATCATCCCAGCTCAAGTAATTGGCAATAAGCTGGAGAATCTCAAACCTCTTAGTATCTGCACGCGGCAGAGTAACAAATGACAGCAACATGTTTGTCACTAGCTGACGATCGACTGTGTCTCCCTGGGAGTTTTCTTTAATAACACGCAATGCCTTGGTCAAGTGCTCGTTTAAAGTGACAGCTTCATGGCGCAGCTTGCCAATCAGCAGCTGCTTTTCCTTAACTTGCTGCTCCAGCTTAGGCACGCTCTCTGCAGCCTGGGAAAGTTCCTTGTTATGCATTAGGGCATTGTCACGTTGAGTAGTTAGCTCCAGTTGATTTTCTTTAAGACTTAGAATCTCATTTTCCATCGTAGTTAGCTTAGCTTCTCTATTAGTTTTGTACAGCCCAAACTCATTTTCCAAGTTTTTGATTTTGTTGCGTGCAGCTTCGCACTCAGTGCGGAACCGCTCTGCATAATTTGTTTGTTGTAAAATCTGGTCCTCGAGATCTTGTACCTTGGACTGAAAATTGTTGTGCATAAGTCTCTCATCTTGAATCGACGACTGTAAGTCCTGGGTCATGGTCTGAGCCACTTCTAACTGCTGTTTTAGCTGTCGTGTTTCCTTGACAAGTGCATCTTTTTCTGCTTCCCACGACGTGATGGCTTCTTGGTAGTCGCGGCGTGTATGTGACAAGTCTCGCGAAAGTCCGTCAGCTTCTTTGGTAGATGTAATGAGTTCACGTTTTAAGTTTTCGATCGAATTATCGAGCTCCTTTTTTTCTCGTTCTAGCTGAACCACCTGAGCTTTAGATTGTTCAAGGTCGTCTGCATCTCGTTTTAGCTTATCTCCAAGCGAAGTTTTTATCCGGCCCACCTTATCCAATAATGACTGGTATTGCGAATGGTAATCGTCTCGAGCCTTTGTCACTTTCTCTAGTTCCTCGGCATGTTGTTCCTGTTGGGTAGTCAGTTTCTTTGTTAGCTCTTCAATTCGAGCCCTTAAAGCACTATCGTCTGAAGAAGAAGAAGAAAAAGAAGAAGGAGAGATTATCGAAACTTCTTGAGCTTTAAGTTGATCTTTGACCAAAGATAATTCTGAAATAGCCAAGTCTAGTTCCTTTTGTAGTTGCTCATTGTGTGCATTATTAGATTCATGCGTCTGGGTAGAATTATTATTTTCAGTCTCAGTCAGAGATTCTTCTGTTGTAAAAGATGACTGCTGCCCATTGGTATCTTCAGTGTCATTTTCTTTAGATCCACCATTAATAATGGGTTTAATCTCAGGCTCTTCTTTTTCCATAGTTGGGCTTATTAGATTAGGACTGAGATGGTGATAGTGTAGTGTAAAATGGTTCTTAGAAATAAAAAAAAAAAAAAAAAAAAAAAGGGAGAAAGAAGTAAAGGCGGGTGTGTCTTTTGAGGGAATGCGCTGCTGGCTTTTGTTTGTTTGTTTGTTTGTTTGTTTGTTTGTTTGTTTGTTTATTTGTGTTACAAAATTATGAAAGACTTTGTTTAGTTGTAACAAAAAAAAAAAAATAGTGGGAAATTTCAATTTCAATTTCAATTTAAAACGGAAAACCAAAACTTTTTTTTTTTTTATTTCCAAAGTACTCTCTCTCCCCTTCTCAACCAACATAAACAAAAAGGACCCATCACAAACAAAGAAGACAATGGGTGATCTTCGCAATTATTTCTCAGTTAAGGTATTTATACTATATATAAACTAAATTAAAAAAATGACATTAATTAATTATTGAATAGCCAAAAAAGGAAGCAAAGCCGGTGGTAGTTCCTAGGAAAACATCTAAACGCAGAATCATTGGTATGCTTTGTTTACTTTTCTACTACATTTATCCACTAACATTTTATAGAATCCGATGATGAAGATGAAATAGAACCTGCAAAGGCACAAAAGACCTTTGCTAAAAAGTATGAAATTTTTTTTTAATTTTTTTAAATAAACTTGCGTATAAAGAAATATTTATTAATAATTTAGACCTGAGCCTAAAAAACAAAAACAAGAAGAAGCTGTGGATGTTTCAAGTTACTTTGCCCAACATTCTCTTCGCAAAACAAGATCTGCATCGGCTCAAGCTAAGTCTGCATCGGCTCAAGCTAAGTCTGCATCTGAAAAGTCTACATCTGAAAAGCTTCCTCCTGAAAAGACTTCTTCCGCAAAGTCTGCTCCAGTAAAATCTGCTCCAGGAAAATCTGCTCCAGTAAAGTCTGCTTCAGTAAAATCAGCTCCAGTAAAATCTACCCCAGCTTCAAAGCCCACGGAAGCTAGTGACGATGACTTTGATGACTCAATTGATGTTGACGAAGTATTTAAAGATTCTCGACCGGTATCCAAACCTCTGCCTAAACCTGATCCAAAGCTAGTTTCTCAATCTGCTGCTAATAAACATGTCACCAAGCCATCATCAAAACCTATTTCCAAACCCGCCTTAAGAAGAAAAACAATTGCTGATGACAGCGACGACGATTATGAAATTAAAGAGGTGATTCCGGCAGCCAAAAGAGCTTCTAGAGTATCATCAATCACGGCGCCTACGGCAAGCTCAGCTGCTAAAGCAACTGTTAAAAAAACAACAACAAAAGTAGCACCAAAAACTATTTTCAAAGATATTTCATCTTCATCAGTTTCAGGGAAAACTGCTGAAGAAGTTCTGGCAAAAATTCCTAGCGCAATTCTTCCTGAAATTGAAGAAGAAAAAAAGTTTAGTTTCCATGACTTTAAAGCTCGCTCAGACCAGCCTGCTCTAGATGCTGATATTGAGATACCTGTTGCTCGACCCAAGTGTCTTGCAGGACTTAAGATTTTATTTACAGGAGTACTACCCCATCTTACTCGTGAACAGTGCATATCAATTGTGAAAAAATACGAGGGCACAGTTGTTTCATCTATCTCAAGCCGAACCTCTGTGGTTGTTCTTGGAGTTGATGCAGGACCCTCAAAAGTTAAAAAAATTAAGACGATTGGTACCAAAGTAATTGATGAAGAAGGATTTTTGCAATTGCTGCGGGACATGCCTGCGGCAGGAGGTTCAGGCGAACTTGCACAAAAAGCTATGCTCAAACAAAAGGAGGAAGAACGCAAGATTGATGAGGCTGCAGCTAGTTTGAAAAAGGAGATTTCAGAACGATATACAAATTCAACTAAAGAGGAAGCGGTATCTGCAGACAATGTGCTGTGGACGACCAAGTACGCGCCGACCAAAATGTCTGAAATTATTGGAAATCCAGGTGCTGTTAAGAAACTACAAACGTGGCTAGCTAATTGGAAAAAGAACTATAAGAGTGGGTTCAAGAAACCAGGACCAGATGGAAGCGGAGTGTATCGTGCGGTTATTTTGCATGGGCCTCCAGGGATAGGTAAGACAACAGCAGCTCATCTTGTTGCAAAGAGCATGGGGTTTGACGTTTTGGAAAACAATGCATCTGATACTAGAAGCAAAGGCCAGCTGAGTGAGCAGGTGACTGGGGTTTTGAGTAACACGTCAATTATGGGATATTTCGGGACTACAGAAGATCCTCATGCACACCAAAAGAAGAAAAACTTGGTCTTGATTATGGATGAGGTGGATGGCATGTCTGCAGGTGACCGTGGAGGAGTGGGGCAGATGGCAGCGTTATGCCGAGTCACACATATTCCTATTATTTTGATTTGCAATGAACGAACCTTGCCCAAAATGCGGCCATTTGATCGTGTAACATATGACATTCCATTCAGACGACCTGATGCAAATGCTGCACGGGTGCGATTGATGAGTATTGCAAAACAGGAGAATTTGAAGATGGAAGGAGGGGTAGTTGAACAGCTTGTTGCTAGTACACATGCAGATATTCGACAAATTATCAACATCATGTCAACATATGCACGGACCCGGGATTCGTTAAATATGGATCAGAGTGTTGATTTAAGTAAGGCGAGTGAGAAGCATACAATTTTAAAACCGTTTGACATTCTCGCACGGCTATTTTCACCTGGGACGTTTTCAGTGAATAGCAAAATGACGCTGAATGATAAGATTGAACTGTATTTCCATGACCATGACTTTACGCCGCTAATGGTACAAGAAAATTATTTGAATACAATACCTGTAAGTGCAGGGAATGATCGGGTGAAGCAACTGGAGGCTATTGTGAACGCATCCGAAAGCATTTCGGATGGAGACTTGGTTGATGCTCGGATCCATAGTTCTGAGCAGTTGTGGAGTTTGATGCCACTTCACGCAGTCATGTCTTCTGTGCGACCTGCATCGTTTGTTTGTGGACAGGGGAAATCGCGATATAATTTCACATCATACTTGGGAAATAACTCCAAGAGAGGGAAATACGATCGGTTATTGCAGGAGATTCATGCGCACATGCGACTTAAGATTTCAGGGGATCGGGAGGAAGTTCGGGAGGACTACATGCCTTTATTGACGATGCTTTTGTTAAAGCCATTGATGAAGCATGGGGTAGAGGGAGTTGATCAAGTGATGGAGGTTATGGATGATTATTACTTGACTAAGGAGGATTGGGATGTGATTATGGAGCTTGGTGTTGGGGTGCATAGTGCAGAAGAGTATGTCAAGAAACTTCCAACTGCAGTCAAGTCTGGATTTACACGCAAGTATAATGCATCGAATCATCCTGTGCCGTTTATGAAATCTGTGAGTTCGGTAAAGGTGGGGATTTCAGCAGGGGCTGCGGTTGTTCCAGATTTGGAGGAGACGATTGGTGAGGAGGCGCCTGTGAATGAGGAAGAGGGAGATGAAGAGAAGAAGGAGAAGGAAGAAGAGGAAGATCTGACTAAGGATAAGTATATCAAGGTTGGTAAACCTAAAAAGGCGGCGGCGAAGAAGGCTCCTGCAAAACGTGGGGGTCAGAAAAGGGCGGCGACGACGACGACGACGAGTTCAGCCAGTGGGAGTAAATCTGGAGGAGCTCGCGGGACCAAACGAGCGGCCACCAAGTGAAATTTAAATAAAGACGGAAGGAAGTAAGGAGAAGAAGAAGAAGAAAGAAAAAAAAAAGTGAGAAACTAGTATACAAAAGTAATAAAAAGTAATGAAAACAAAAAGTCAATTTGTTTTTGGTCTGTAGCGACGCGACTTGACTTCTATTTCGCGAGACCATTCGTCTATTTCTTTTGTGAGAAGTTCGAGGTCATTTATAAAAGCTTCAATTTCATCGACTTGTTGGACATAAGCTTCGATTTCAGCAGCAGAAGCTTGGAGAGCGCGTGCATCGGGGTCCAAATGTTTTTTAGCAGCTTCAGCCAAGGTTGAATAATGAGCATTAGCCATCCAATTTGCACGTTCAAGAACGTCAAGAGATACACCAGTTGCATCACTTTCAGCATCTACAAATCTAGTTAGTGATGCATGTGCTGTTGCAATAGCAGCTGCCGGAGTTGGAGGGGAAGGAGAAAACTGTTGTAGTTGTTGTAGTTGTTGTTGGTTTGTAGTTGTTGAATTGGTTGATGTGGAAGAAAGAGCAGCTGCAGAAACAGATGCAGAGGAATGTGCCCGAGAAAGAGAAGGGGCTTCTGAATGATGTGAAGAAGATGGAGAAGAGTGGCCAGTTACTTTTTTGAAGAGATACATTTGAGTGAAATTTTGGTGATTTTGGTGATTTTGGTGATTTTCAAAAAAAAAAAAATTAAAATTAAAATTAAAATTAAAAATAAAAAAATAAAAAAGAATATTTTAGGGAGTGTTCAAACTAACAAACTTAACAAATATTTAATCACGTGATTAAAATTTAATTATTTTTAATTTTGCACGTGTATGAAACAATAAATAACCCAATTTTTTAACTAAAAATTTATGTTAAAATCATAAAATAATTAAAATAATTAAAATAATTAAAATAATTAAAATAATTAAAATAATTAAAATAATTAAAATAATTAAAATAATTAAAATAATTAAAATAATTAATTAAAAAAAAAAGGCCGCTTTTTTTTTTTTTTTTTTTTTTTTTTTTTTTTATTTTTATTTTTTTTTAATTTTATTTTTCACCACCACCAAAAAAAAATAAAATAAAATATCACCAACAAATATCAACAATCTTTCTTTCTCTTCAATATATATATATACACATATGTATATATATGATACAATATTCACTCATAGATTGACTAAATAGGAATCTATATTAAACTATTATCATATTATCATCATATAATCAATTTCATTTTCTTATTATCACCTTCTCCTTTGGAAGTGTCTCTAAAAAAAAAAACCATCCTACAATAAAAAAAAAAATCAAAAAAAAAAAAAAAAATGTCTTCTCAAATCCCATCTCTTATCCGTCCACCAAATTCCTCCCAGAGAAAATATCCTGCTCTTTCTATTCCCAATTCTTCAGGAAACCCATCAAGCCAAGTACCTTCTTTTCCTCTCATTACTTCTTCTCCTTCACTTCAACCTTTAGTCCCTGTTCCATTTGCATCTTCCACTACTTCTACCATACCAAACAGCAACAATACCAGTAACCATACTCTACTTCAATCTCCTGCTTTAGACTCAATTGACCATCTCTCATCTTCAGCTGTCACCCCAACTCCTTCTCAAGACCCTCAAGTTTTCTCATCATCTTCTTCCTCTTCTTCTCCTATCCCAACCCCTATTCCTACTCTTCCCCAATTTACTACTCCTTCAGCACCACTCTTGTCATCTGCTCCTCGAGCTTCTCCCTCCCCCTCAGGTGGCCTCTTTTCTCCAGAAATATACGCTGCTCTCGGCATGAAAACTCCAGTTCCTCCGGCGCCGGCGCCGCTCACTGGTCCAACTACCTATATTCCAGTTCCTCATCCCCAGCAGATACCTTTTGTCTCAGTCCCAGTCCCAGTCAATACTACTGATACTTCTACCAATACTACCACAATAAACGTTACTTCTTTACAACCTCAATCTCAATCTCAATCTCTAAAATCAACTACAACAACACCTGAAGGATTATCACTTTCTAGTCTCTCCATAGACGATAAAAATCAATTACCTCCTATTTCATCTGCATCTATTCTTTTAAACCAAACAACAACGGCTGTGCCGCAAAATCATTCACAACAGCCCTTTTCTTCATCTATAATACCAGATTCGAATATAAATCAGCCACCACTCAATAACAACAGTCCATTTATCCCCATTATTAATCCTACATCACTTTCAACTGAACATCAACAACCATTACTTCCTCCTAATTCGTTACTTACTCTTACTACAAACCCATCTCAACACTCTCGGAACAATTCTTACTCTAGCGTAGGATCTAACCCAAGTACTTACAGTAACAATAACCCCACTTTAGCCACTACTAGTGGTGGAACGGCTCCATTTGTCCCAACCCCTTCAGCCCCTTTACCTTCATCAAATCTTTCACCATTTCCATTCCCTGTCAAAAAGTCTGCTTCAAAAACAATTCTCACCTCCTTGGCCATCCCGACTAACCCTAATGCTCCTCCTCCTAAAACTTATACCGCTGTAAGCTACCAACAACCGCCATCATCGTCATCTTCTTCTTCTTCATCATCATCATCATCATCTTCTTTCCCTCAAGAACTACAACAACCTGCTAATCCCATATTTCATCATCATCATCACTCTTCCTCTTCCTCTTCATCAACAGCCGCATCAGAATCCTCATCGACCCTTTCTATCCCATCGGCTGATCTCTCCCAAACATGTGACCCTTTTATCCCTCCTGTGAAACCCCCACCTTCTCCAAAATATCCAGGAATTTTCCTGGACACTACCAAAATTAAAGCTGCTGCTTTCCAGCGTGACTTTGATGATAACCCCAAGCCTACCCTTAAAATTGAAGATACCCTGGTTTTGGCCATTGAAAAAAAACCTACACAATGCTCTTTTTCTTCTTCTTCTTCTTGTTCTTCTCTCGTTTCATCAACTGAACTAACAGCAGTAGCCACTACCGTTGTCACAGCCACATCAAATATAATAGAACCACCCGTTGATCTTATACCTACAACCACTTCCCCAAATTTTGACAATAGAGATTACTGTCAACGTTATGCACACCTTGACGTTGCAGACCTTGACGAAGATGGATGGAGAGCTGTTGCTGAGGCCGGTGACATTGAAGAACTTGGCAAGCTCGGCGAAGGTGCCGGCGGATCAGTCACTAGGTGTCGACTTAAAAATCGTGGACCCAATAGCAAAGTCTTTGCACTAAAAGCAATCACAACCAATCCCAATCCAGAAGTTCAAAAACAAATTTTGCGCGAATTGCAATTCAACCGTACATGTAACTCACCACACATTGTCAAGTATTTTGGCACCTTTTTGAGCGAAGAAACTGCATCTATCTTCATCGCCATGGAATACTGTGGCGGCGGTTCCCTCGAGGCCATCTACAAGCGCGTTAAAGCTCGCGACGGACGCATTGGCGAAAAAGTCTTGGGGAAAATTGCAGAAGGCGTATTGTCTGGATTGTCTTACCTCCACGAACGCAAAATCATCCACAGAGACATTAAGCCGCAAAACATCCTACTCGACTCGGAAGGCCAAGTCAAGCTCTGTGACTTTGGTGTCTCAGGAGAAGTCGTTAACTCTCTTGCAACTACTTTTACAGGCACCTCATACTACATGGCTCCTGAACGAATTCAAGGACAACCCTACACCGTGACCTCTGATGTTTGGTCGCTTGGTCTAACAATCATGGAAGTGGCACAACACCGGTTCCCGTTTCTTCCGGAAAACCATGAACCTCTCACGCCCATTGAGCTGTTAAGTGTGATTGTAAACATGCCAGCCCCAGAACTCATGGACGAACCTGATGAAGGTATCAAGTGGTCTGGATCGTTCCGCCACTTTTTAAAGTCGTGTCTAGAAAAAGACCCAAAGAAACGCGCCTCTCCTCGACAAATGTTGATGCATCCATGGATTGTCGGTCAACGTAATAAGTCGGTTAAAATGGCAAAGTTTGTAAGAGAATGTTGGTCTTGAGAAAAGAAAAAAAGGAAAGTAAAGTAAAAGCCTTTTCTTTTATTATTCCTTTTACATATACATCCTCTCTCTTTGTTAGTATAAGTCTGATGTGGTTTGTATTAGTTAGATCGAAAAGATGCCACGTTTGAAAAAAAAGTTTGTAAGAAAAAAAAAATAAAAAAAATAAAAAAATTAAAACAATTTCAAAAAAAAAAAAAAAAAATTTAAAACAAAGTTTTTTATGGATCGAGCGGGTTGATCATTCGGAACACTTATTTTTTTTCCTGGTTTCCTTTTAAGTCTCAAAAATGATCACATACATTTATATAAGAACAGCTTGGCCACTTCTTTTATGAATCAAAAAACTAAAAAAAAAATTAATATCATTTATCCTTTCTTGTTTAATCAAATATAGTACTTTTTGTCAATTCAAATGATGCATTTCTTTCTTTATTTGATATATTTCTTTGTCGGAAAAATAAAGTTTCAGTTATTCTCAAGCCTAAAAAAAACCAAAAAAAACTTTAGACATAAATATCATCTTTATCTTTTTTTTTTCTGAGAAAGTTTACAAATCCAATCCAATCTAATCAAGTATTGGCCACATTGCATGATTCTTTAGTTATTTTTTGAAACTCCTTAGCGCTGTTGTAAAATATTTTAAACCAATATGATTAGGCTAGGCCTCAATGACATGTAATTAACTACTTGCTTTTGAAATGTATTTTTTATGAGCTTTTTTTCAAAAAAAAAAAAAGAAAAGGAAGGGAAATAAAAATTCTAACAGACACAAATTATTGGGTTCAATTGGTAGATAATTCGAAAATAATAAAATCATAGTAAAAACATAACACATTGTTTTTATAAAAAAAATTACAAACTGGATTGAAATATGATAGTTAAAAAATAAAAGAAAACAAAAATATTTTTTTTGAAGACTAAAACGAAAGTACAAGATGTAGATAGATAATTTTTATTGCTAGTAATCATCAATAAAAAATAGTTTGAATTTTTTGTTTTTAGTTTTTTTTAATCAAGTTTATGCATTTGACCAAGGAAAAAACAAAAGACATTGATCAAAAATTAGAAAAAAATTAATAAACAATTGTGACAAACAATTTAAAAGAAATAGGTAATCTTTTAAATTGATTTTAAAAAATGCCATCAAGATTGAATTTTTTTTTAAAATTATTGAGGAAAGAAATGTGAAATTTGTATTGAATGGCAGGCATAAAACAGTTAAGCCGCACAGTGTCACTTGACTCTCAAATCGATAATTCCCCAAAAGTTTTTTTAACAAAATAAATTGATTTTTAAAAGAAAAAAAAAAAGAAAACTTATAAGTTTGATTTCAGTATTAAAATATATCAAAAAATAATTGTGGATTGTAAAAGAAACTTATATATTGGCTTTATTCAATTATAATATTAAACCCCCCTCTTAAAGCTACAAAAAGAGCTAATTCAGCGCACTTTCTTCCAGCCCTCAAGATCTTTATCTCACCTCTGGCAGACCTTAGACCAAATTCCATATTTTTTATCTTTACTTTAATCATTTCACTTCATTTTGTTTAAAAATCTTAGTATTATAGGATTTACAGCTCTTCGTTTTAACCAAGTTGCTGGCTGCTCAAAAGTTATCTGACCAGGTGATATCCCCCCCTTTAACATAAGCCAAAATATCCTCAAACATACTAAAATATTTGCCCACAGAAACAAAATATATTGTAACGCTTATATATGTGTTAAAGTTTTGGTTTCCACTTAGATATGAGCACCATAGCTCATGCTCGGAGAAAAAGAACCAAAAAATGGAGACAGAGAGTGACCAGGGATAGAACTGTAAGGAGCATCATCAGTAGACAGAAAACAAAACTAAGAATCTGAAGAGTAATGCTGTTGGCCTCTGAATTATTTGTAGCAATAATAAAGTTACAGAAATAAATTTGAGTAGATAGCTACCTACAGAATGTTTTTTTTGTGACGCTTTAGAAATACTGTCACTAAAAATTAACCTCGTATCAGGGCCGCTGACTATTGAAATGACCTACTAATTGCCTTAAATTTCAAGTAAAGCACGTACTTAACTTGGAGTTAAACTATTTAGCACAATTTTAGAGAAAAAAAATTGAAGCCTGGCCATATTATCAAATGTAGAAATCATACTAATAGAATTTTAATTAGATCATAATCACAATCAACTATGATCTTTGTTTCGATACTACAACCAATTAGTTGAAAGCTTGATTCATATATATTTTTTTATATTAATGAAAACAGGATTCTCTCCTCTAAAAAAAAAAGTTAACAAAAAATATATATTATCCTGTATTAAAGCAGAGAATAAGTTAATGAAAAACATGTTTCAATAGTTAAATTAGTATCTATAAATTGAGTCACTCTGATCATCTTGACATAAAGTTGTAAGTGCTGATCAGATGAATTTATTCTTAAATTCACAATTTTAAGATCTTGTAATTGAGAGTTACTTAGGTAATTAAAAAATGAAAGCTAAATTGAAGTATTATTTTTTAAAACCAAAAATTCACATAGGAGAAAACTAAATTTAGTTTTCATTTAAACGAATTATTTTTCAAAGGTTTGAAAAAAAAAAATTAAAAATTAAAAAAATTTCAATAAATAAAAATTTTCCCCATTAGGACATTGAAAAATTACTGTTTTAGTAATTAAAATTAATTTCAAAAGATAAAAAAAAAATTTCCAATAAGGGAATTGAATGATTTCCAAAAAATTGAATTTTTTTTAACAATTAATATGTTCCTTTTAAGGAAACATAACAATTTATTTTTCATTTAAATGAATTTACTCTTTTCAGAAAAAGTAAATTTTAAAAATAAATATTTACTCAAAGAGGAAATCAGATAACTATTAAAAAAAAGTTTACAAATTTGGCAATTAAAAAGTACTTTTAAAGGAAATTTAATTTTTCAAAATTTTTTTTTCATTTTTATTTTTAAAAGAAATACTTCAGTTGATTTCCCATTTGAGAAATATTTTTGTAAACTTTAAAATTTTTCATTTTTCATTTTTCATTTTTCATTTTTCATTTTTCATTTTTCATTTTTCATTTTACTTTCATTTTAAATTTCCAGATCGGGAAATTGAAATTTAAGCATTTATTTTTTTTTATATTTTTTTTTTTATTTTCTTTCCACTTTTAGTTTCCTATTTAGGCTATTTATATTTTTACTTATTAGAGCAAATTTAGCATCCCCCAGTAGCTTCTTTTCAAAAATCCCTTTTTTTTTTTTTTGGAATTTTTGAAAAGAAGCTACTGAGGAACCCCAGGAAGCACGACGTGGACGCTTGCTCTGCTACTCCCCGCAAGAAGGGCCATTGGACCCGACAGTTGCCTCTTGTTGCTTTTTTTTCAAGTGCCTGTAAGGCGAAGCCACGCTTTGACTGAACCTTTTAAAGCTCGGCAACTCACTTCCACCAGTCCTAAGACTGGGGGGTGGAGAAGTAGAATTGCCCTGAGCCGAGTTTCAGAAAACGAGCTGGTTTTTAACCCCCCATTCTAAACACCTTCCGCCAAACCCAATAATCCCCAAAAAATACACACTACTGTGTAAATAAGGGGAAGAAAAAAAAAAGTTAGAATCATCAAAATCGCAGTCAATCTCAAAATCGCCAAAAATTGGAACTTACCATAATTCCAATATATTAACTACTAAGACTAACCTAACCTAAAAAACTACTCAAACTGAGTTGCATGTTAGTAAAAATCAAAGAAAAAAAATCAAAAAAACAAACAATCAAAAAGTCAGGCTCACCTATCTAACTCTTAGCTGCCTGTCGAAAAGGCCAGCTTTAACAAGGGGCAGTCGTGCGGCACTTGTTTTCGGTCTCGCATCGTCGGTCTCATGTCGTTGGTCTCGCATCGTCGGTTTCGCATCGTCGGCCTTTCCATTCCCATATTCTCCCAGTCTCCGTCCACCGCCATCCATCTCGCTACCTCCCCCATTGCCATCCTCCCCCAACTCCGTCCACCGCCTTCCACCTCGCTACCTCCTCCACTGCTCCTCCGCCTCCAACTAATCAACCTCTTCAACCACCTCCAACCCCACTCCTCATCAACCCCCGTCCCCTGGCCTGGGCTCATCATCACAGTTGGTGCAGACCACTCGAGCGACCAGGACTTCCCCACAAACCCCCCGGGGAAATATCAGTGCTGCCCCACCGAAATAACCCCTGCTCTATCAGGAATGGATCTAACTGGGCACTCCGTCAAGAGACTTTTTTGGTTGTTATTTTAAAAAGACGCACCAAACAAAACTTTTTTCCAATGGTACTGTCCGCCTCGGTGATGGTGTCACCCATTTCCCTCAGCATCCAGTGAGTTTGTCCCTTTAAGACTGTCTTGGTTTCGCACCCAACGAACTAGGAAACTGTCGACGACACAGAATACCACCCTATATCTGTGCCAAGAAGAGTGGTCAAGAAAAACCAAAAGACAACCAAGACAATTGTAATCATAGTTATTCCATCCCAACCGCTAGCAAGGACGGGGTAATCGCTGTTCCACGAGCGACCACAACCCAACACAAGTTCACGGTGAAAAAAAAGCTGTCTGCTAGGCAAAAGCAGTAACCTTCCAGGGCTTGGGCGTGATTTCCAATGAGAGCGGGGACTCCTTCATCCACCGAGCAGCCGGAGCTGTCTTGATCTCAGTGTTGACCTCAAAGCGTGCCACCTACACGGCGCATCATCATGCGACTTGTCGAACCCATCCTCCCACCCGTCGAACGTAGCCGAAGTCCTTAGTGTCGAACCCATCCTCCCACCCGTTGAATATTACCGAAGTCTTTAGCGTCGAACCCTTCCTCCCTCCCATTGTATTTTTTTTAGTTCAGATATAAATAATCAGGCAATTTGTAAAAGAATATGTTGCAGGTATTTAAAATTGTAGTCATATTTCGCTTATAGGTTCATAGTTGAAAGGGTAAAAGAACCAAAGGTATGTTATGAATATTAAAGTTGAAATTATGGGTATTGGAA